AAAAAAAAAAAAACCACGAAACAAACGGGAAAGAAGCCCCTGGTGAAGCAAGCTTGGAAGTCAGCAGCTCCACAGAACAGCTGCCTTAAAGCCAACTCAAACCTCTCCCCAGGCAGCTGACGTGTTCGCTGGGCTGCAGCCCCAGGACAGTGCTGGGAAGCCTCACAGAGATTCAGCCTTGGAAGCTGGGTTAGGAAAAAGAGGCTGTGCCTTCTTCCCAACCCCAGAGGAGGAGAGCTGGGGAGCAGAAGTGCCCGTGCAGAGGCGTCAGTGCCCAGCCAGCCCCGTTTCAAGGGGCTTTGCTCAGACTGGCTGTTCTGGTCCGGTGCTGAAGCCCATTAGCAGTTGGAGCTCATCTATGAAAGGGGAGAGCAGCACCACCCCAAAGGAGGGGATTTGGGGTGCTGCTCCTTGATGTGAACCAGCCCCGGGAGGATGAGGAGATGGCTTTCAACATCCTTGTGTCTGTTTACCAACGTGGATGCCCTGAGCACCCACACAGCACACAGCCAAGCACCCCCCAGGGTCACCTGACAGCACAAAGTCCCAAATCCCCCAATCCCCATGTTAGTGAGACCAGCAACCAGCAAGTAAAGACTTCCAGCTAAAAGGCAGACTGTAAAATCAGCCACCAATAAAGATAACACATTCTGCTCCTGCCACGGCCCTGCCCTGTGGGACCCCGGAGCCAGGGAAAATCCGTACTCACACTAACGATGGTGGAGACGAAGAGCAGCACCAGCACGGTGACGTGGAGCACGATGATCCCCAGCAGCAACAGCAGCATCTTGGCTGTGGTGGAGGGCAGAGCTGGAGCGGGACAGGGAGGATGCTGAGCGTGTGTGTTTGTCTGTCTGTCCGTCTGTCCGGGCCGGCCGGGGGCAGCMGGACACGCTCCGCTCCGCCCCGCCCGGCTCGGGGGATGCTGCCGGAACAGTGCCCGCCGCCCGGGTTCTCTCCCTCAGGCCCCGCCGATGGAGAGGGGTCCGAGCCCTCTGCCCGCTCCCCGATATCCCCCGGAGGTCCCCGAGACCTTCCCCTGAGCCTGCTCTCCCTCTCCCACCGAGGGGGCTCCTCTCAGCCCCCTGCCCACGGACCCTCAAGGGGAGCGGCTTCCCGAGGAGGCTGCCCCAGCCCCTCTCCCCAGCGAATATCCTGCTCGCTCCCGCCCCGAAGGGCTCGATCTCGGCGCTTCGCACCCGAGGGGCTGCCCCGGCCCCACCCCGCAGGGAAAGAGGGGGGTCCTTTGCCCACCCACCCGTGGGGCCACTAGGGAACTTTCCCGGGCTCACCCCGGGGAGAGGGTGGGGGGCAGGGGACGTCAACTCCTGCCCCTTTCAGCCCACGGGCTATCTCGGCCCCTTTTCTCCGGGGGTGCCCTCGGGCCATCTCCCCTCGGCACCCCCGAGAGAGACTCTCCTGCCCGCTCTCTCAGGGCTGGGGACGGGGCTTTCTTCAGCCCTCGGCTTCCCCGGCAGAAGCACTTCTGGACCCTCTCCCGAGTTAGGGGGACTTTCCCCAGCCCATCTCCTCCCTCAGGGAAGAGGGGAGGGGGCTGCCCTGACCCCCCTCTCTAGAGAACACCCGAAGCGGGGGGCTCCTCCCCTCCCTCTCGGCTGCGAACCCCCGGAGGGTCTCTCCAGCCCTTGTCCCCTCGGTGTGGCCGCTCCGTACTCACATCGCGGCGGAGCGGAGCGCGCTGGCGGCAGCGGAGCGGGAGCCGAGCGGAGCAGGCAGCGGCGCTGTCAAGTTTCCCCTTTAACAGGGCCACCGCCCCGTTTGCGTCTGCAGCACGGGGAGGGCTCAGCCGCCGCCCGCCGCCCGCCTATAAACGGGGCAGCGCCGGGCCGGGCCGGAGCCAGAACCCGCCAACGCYCCCCGGGGACGCGGCCGGGAGCCGCTCATGGACCCTCCGCTTTCCCCGGCACACGGCTCCCTGCCCCGGCCACCGCACGGCCGTTCCCGGCCGGCAGCGAGAACATTTGGGGTGGACGAGAGACGCCCGCCCCCTTCTCCCGAGCCTCCCCTGCCCAGGCAGCTGTGGAGACGGGCGGGGAGAGGGGGCCGTGAGCCGCTCTCTGAGCAGCCCCCATGGGTGGGGAGTGTCCCGGAGCGTGGGCGCTGCGGCCCCGCGGTGTCCCAGCAGGACCGGCCGGGGATCGGAGAGGACAGAGCTCTCCAGATCGGGGGTCCCCTCATCCCAACCCAGGGCGTTTGCGCAGCCCTGGCCAGGATCCGAGGCACAGGATTTGGGAATGCGCATCTGGCTGAGCTGAAGGGATTCTAGCGCTTGGAGTCGATCTTTTTTAGCACTTGAAAGCCAAATTAGGTGKAACTGAGCAATTTCTCACTAAATGGAGGGTGAGATTTTCCACAGCTCTGGAGGACACTGAGAGAATTAGGGCTGTTCTGCCTGGAGCAGACCCTGGGGAGGGCTTAGAGCCCCATCCAATGCTTAAAGGTCTCCAAGAGAGGTGGAGAGGGACTTGAGATAAGAGATGGAGGRACAGGACACAGGGAATGGCTTCGCAGTGGCATAGGGCAAGGATGGATGGTATATTGGGAAGGAATCCTTCCCTGTGCGAGTGATAGCCCTGGCATAGGGTGCCCAGAGCAGTTGTGGATCCCTGGCAGTGCCCAAGGCCAGGCTGGACATTGGGGCTGGGAGCAGCCTGGGACAGTGGGAGGTGTCCCTGCCGTGGAAGTGGGTGGCACTGGATGATCTTTAAGATTGTTTCCAATCCAAGCCATTCTGGATTCTGTGACTCAGGTGCTCGGGAAGGAAGGGGTGGCTGCACTGCAGCCTTCGCTCATTCCTCAGGCACAGCCGATCTATTCAAACAACCCCCCCACACAGAGCCCACCCCCAGATCCCAATCAATCCTGCCRGGAGACCTCCACGCTGCTGGGAATCCTGAGCGTTAACACCAGTCCCCGTCACCTCTCCCCTCTCCAYAGCTCCGGACTCGTCCCGCATCGTTGCACAGACGAGGGGATTCGGCATCCAGCCATCGGCGCTGTAAATCGTGGGAGAAGGGAGGTGGGGAAGCGTGCTTGGCTCCTCTCTGCTGGCAAGCACAGGCGTGTTCCCGCAGCACAGACTCCTCGCACTCACGGAAGGGGTCCCGGCTCAGGCATCGGCCGGCAAGTGGGAGTGGAGTCCAGAGCACCCGGGGGGGTCGGGGGAGAGGGGCCAGCGGCTGAAACGAGATTCCAAAGGATGCAATTTCCCCTCCCCTCCAAGAAATCCCGCCAATTCCTCTGCTGCTACCGCCGTTCTGCACCCTGCGACGCCTGTCAGTGCCACCCAGGACTGCAAACCCCAGAGGACTCAAGCATCTGTGCCACCGTCAGAACATTCCTGCCTAATGAGGCTCGCTGGGGCTGTTCTGTCTCTGTGGGCCGGGTGCCTGAAGGAGCCCCCACGCTCGGGGCTGAGAGAGAAAGGTCTTGTCCCCCGGCTGCCATCCACACAGTCTCTATTAGAGAGCATTCTCTGATTTGGGTTTGCCGGTCAGATCTCGGCTGCTGCGTCTCTGGATAAAATATCCAACCTGTTCCCTGGAGCAGAGGGGGAAGGCACTGGGAGGTGTTGGGGGCACAGACAGMTCCCCAGCTCCTCCGGGAGTGTGCGACAGCAAACCCGCCTCAACTCCACTTCTGGAAAAGRTGCCAAAAGCAGTTTTACAAGCATGGGAGAAATATCTGACACTCACACCAGGGAAAAGAGCAGTCTGTGGGTAACAAAGCCTGTTGCGGCTGAGAGACGTGGATTAGAAATGGTGGAGAAAGCCCAGAGAGAAGAGCACATCACTCCCCTGCTCCTCGGACGCTTCTTTGGAAAGGTGCATTGTTCACACCGAGCAGGGCTTGGGTAAACGTCAGCTGAGCCCATGCAGTGAGAGCAGCGCTGGTGCCGGGGGCAAAGCTCCTCTCCATGCCTTCCATCAGCCGGAGATGCTGGATGGAGCCTGTCCAGGGAGGAGAGGAGGCGAGGAAGCGGGGATGGGCACAGCAGAGCCCTCGGGGTTTTGCTGGAGAGACAAGGTCACAGCCAAGCCGGGACGGGCTGGAGGCTGCCCCGGTGCTGCCCCCGCTCAGGCTCCGGGCAAGGGGGGCTGGCAGAGCAACCCCGCCTAAATCAAAGCAGGCGCCACAATAAATTGGAAAAATGTTTTGTGTACCAACAAGATTCGCCACAGGCTGTGCTGGGAATACCGGAAGATTGATGGGTTGTAAAAACTCTGGGTAAAAAATGTGGATTTCYCACTTTGAATCTATTCCATGGGGCTACTTGAAATACGTTGTTTGAAAGTCTAGAATAAAGTGATGAGAGTACAGGAGGGAAGGTGGGGTTTCKATCACTTTCGGCTCAGATGCTAATCTGACAAGGTAGGGATGGACTGAAAGGGATCTAAGGCTCATTTAATGACTCATTTAAGTGTGGCATCGACTGCACCAAAACATCAGGGCTCTGCTCATCCTTTTCCTCGGGACAGWTGAGTGAAACCCCTCTTAAAACAAACCTTTTCAAACGACACAAAAAGACAAGATTTCCTCTGTATGACTTTGTGAGGATGAACTTCTTTAACCCCACACTTTGCTCTCTCATCACAATTTTAGAGACTCGCTTCCTGTTCCCTACCCTGGTGATTAAGACCATTTAGCGAGGARGGTTTGAAATACAAAGGGCAGGGGCCGAAATCTGCGCTGCCATCAGCAAACCCCTCCTGCTGTTCAYTGGGGGCTGGGAAGGGAACTAGGCGGTGAAAATCCTGTTTTCCAACAACTGTACCACTAGGAATAGACAGCAAAATATGGTTTGACAGCACTTTGTGGAGGATCTATAGTGTTCCCTCAAAGAGTAGATATATAAATATATAAATMCATTTACACCGGTGGAATGGGTATTGGAAAAAAAGATTTCAACCAGAAAAAAAATGTAAGGGGAGATTTTATATTCAGCAAACTCCAGTAACAAAAGGTCCAATATATTTTGGAGGCATTGACTTACTTTTCCCGATTTGTTTTCCACCAATTCAAGAAGAATTTATAAAATATTTTAATAATGTCTGCACTTATGCCCCCAAACCAACTTCATCCAACTTTTTGCTTTCCAGTCCAAGCCAGTAGTCACCACTGATAGGGCCAGGCTGARATCTCTGGAGAAAATCCCACAGCCTTCAGGGAAACCAAAGTTTACCCACTGACCCCAAAACCCTCAAAAAACCAGCTGAACTTCCCAGCTGGGACATGACTCTGAGCACACTCAGATACTTTGTGAGCTGCTGATTCGTGCTCATCTCCTGACAGCACAGAACAGAACCTGCAGAGGACACAGGTCTAAACCAGCCACATTTGGAGCCACATTTTTCCCCAGACTATTGAGTTTTATACTTTTGGCTCCAGCAGTGCCAGGTCTGGCCCCTTTTCCCATCCTCTTCAGGGGCCCCAGAGTGGCCATTGCTGCTCTGAGGTTGTGGATGCCCCATGCCCTGCAGATCCCTGCTGAGGGACACAGCGGATGCTGCACAGGCTCCAAGAGCAACTGGAACAAGAGCATGTGAAACAAATCCATTGGGGGATATTAAATCCAAGGACAGCCCTGTCAGCTCAGGAAGTCCTTGGGATACGAATTGCTGGAAGCTGGGAAAGTGGAGTGGGAGAATCTCACAGAGCTCTTGCCGCCTTCTGGTGCTTTTATCTCAGCATCTCCTGTTGGCTCTGGCAGAGGCTGCACCAGAGGCTGCGCTCTGGTCTGAGCCAGCACGAGCATTTCTGTGATCCTACATTGCCCCAATTTTCCTTTAGCATTTTGCCAAAGTTTTCTCCTTTTTTTCCCATAATAGCAATGAATTCAGRGTTGTTTTTTTGCTGAGTGCTGATGCTGTTTGGGGAATTCTCTCTCCCTTGAGCACAATAATCTGCACTAGTTATGCAATACATTGTCAACATGGGTTTTGGAAAGCTTTGATTTCACCCAAATTCATATCAGACCCTTCCAGGACACTCAATGATTTTTCTTTTCTTAGACAACAAAACCTGCTTTCTGAGAAGCTTCTTGCTAGCCCAGTCTGGAATGTTCACCTAGGTCCTGGACTGACACGAAGCAACAGTGTCTTGGGTTTATTAATTAACAGTRTCCTGGGTTTATTAATTCATTTTCTTTCCTCCAGTCATCAAACAATTAATTTACACACCCAGCTCTGCAGGACTGATGCAAATGGAATGATGCAAAAGGGTGGGAATATGGTTGTAGGATGCAGGGGATTTGCACAAAATAACTTTCTCAGCAACTTGGCTGATAGAGGCAGCAATAAACCAGYAATAAACAGCAATAAAAGCAGACAGTCGTTCCTCAGTGGAGAAAGGAGACATCCCATCAGTGCAGAAAGGTKGATGACGGGCCTGGGCTGTGGTTTAGAAGTGATCTCTGAAAGGAAATAATTTAATGGCATGGCAGCAAAGAAATCTCAGCCATCAGCAGGAGGAGGCAGGGCTGTTGTTTCATCTCCTGGAACACATCAAAGACTGCTCAAATCCCAAACCCCGACCTGCAGGGATTAAATGGAGCAGCTTCACTCAGCAGCAGCTCTGTCATGGAAAGCAAATCCACCCCTGCTCAGGGGACCCAGCCACGAACCACATGTTTATTGGAATTTCACCCAAACCCTTGCCCTGGAGACCCATTTGACAGGAGTTTGAGGCAGGGTGGGCTCCCCTCAGGGGAACCAGAAGACTCCCACTGAAGCATATGTGGGATTCCATGATCAAAAT